AAATATATATGAATAATAACATGTGATTAAACATTAAATATTTGTTATTCTAATTTTTAACATGTTGAAACTTAGGCTATATTTTATTTAAGTATTTGAATTTTTTCGTGAAATTACAATAACTATTAGGTGTTGGAATTAATTCGTAGCGTTTTACAAGTGATGGGAAGTACTTTCATTAATGTATTTTTTAATGCTCATGTGAAATAAATAACATTCTTTCATTAAAAAACGCTACGAATTAATTCCAACACCTAATACAATTAATGTTTTAAAAAAATTATATAATACTTTTGATACTATATTTTACTAATTATACAATTTTTAATATTATTATTTAATATTCTATTGTTTGATATTATAAATAATCTTGTAGACGTGGCAAGCCCCTGTATCTCAGTCAGGACAGATATCAGCTTTTGGAGCAACAATGGCTGGCTCACAGATTTGATCATACGAAGAGAACATGGGTATGGCATCGCGATGCTCTGTGACCCATCACGATGTTGTCGAGAGTCGCTCGTCGCACCTAATTTCAGAATTGAAGAAAATTCCTTTTTTTCCTTCCTCTCTCTCTCTCTCTCTCTCTTTATCTCTATCTCTATCTCACTCCCGCGACTCCCACAATTTATTCTCACACAAAATGCCTCGCCCTTTCGCAGCAATGCCCGTGCTTTAGAGACTAAAGGAGATAGATTATCCTCGACGGATATTATATATTTATTATGTAATCGTGAGTAAGTAGTAGACATAAATAATGAATGAAAGTATTAAGAAAAAGAACGCTCGTCTGGAAGGAAAATAGATTTTGTTCATATAGCTGCGCATAACTTGAATAATACGTACTAGATCTGTAGAAATTGTGCTCTCAGAATGAACACCTGTACATTTTAAGTACACTTGTATATATTTAAGTATATACACAGAACTGTTTCCATATTTTAATCTTTCTGTATAATTGTCTTCAAAATTAATGGTTACTTAAAAGAAAAAGTTCGAATTGAAGTTACACATTTTTCTTTTAAATTATACAGCTGCATAGAAAAATGAAGTGATTTTGATCCTAGACATTTTTGTGCGATAACCAGCAATCTCGGAGATTGTTATACAGAAAAATTAAAACAAGAGATCCTGTATATATACATATACATACATACACACACACACACACACACACACACACACACACATATATATATATATATATATATATATATATGTGTAAAATATATGCATGTAAGCATATATAAATTGCATTATGACAAAAAAGGAGTACTTATCTAGTATGTAGTATTTGTATTTTTTAGAAGATGATATATAAGTGATAATAATCGGAGAGAGAGAGAGAGAGAAAGAGAGAGATGAGAGAAAATTGTGTGCTTTGAGCAAGAAAAAACTATTCATTTTGAAAAAAGAAATAATTTCCAATTTGTTCTGCTTCGCCAGATGCTTTATGCTGATTCTACAATGAGTCGGTAGTCGGAAATCTTAAATCTCTTAATCAGTCTTAACCCATCCTCACCTAAATAAATGACTTATGATTTTTCGCATCTACGAGTTGTTCATTGTACGTTGTTTAGTTCGACTAATGAGAAAGCATAAAATCGAATTTGGTCAGTTTCAAGAAAATCGTCTTAATCGTACAAAATAGCTATTGGCCAACTTCACCGATAAAACTTAGGACTGTAGACTACCAACTCATTGTAGAATCAACATTATAGATATTTATAAAATAAATATAAATTTTTAATTTTTTTCATACGGCGAAGTTATGTAAAATGAAAACAGGAGGTACATATATCGAGAGCTTTAAATATCGATCAGAACACGGTGTAAATGTGAATGTCATATATATATTTATACATATATAGTATCATATGATATATATGTATAAGTGATATATGTTATATATAATAGAAAATATAATATTACATACATATATTCTTACACCATGGATTGGAACATGACTGGAAGCATGACGCAATCGACGAAATTAATGGCTTCTCGATTCATAATACAATGCAAAATTGAATTATTATAAAAAATTAGAAAATTTTTTTTTTAATTACAAAACTATAAGAGTATTGCGAGTCTGAATCCGATGCCATAGACATGTAAAATATATAATTTTCTTATTCATTATTTTATATCTCATTCTCATAGATTATATTAATGATTATATAAATGTATGTACTTATATATCACATAATTTCCCATTTGTAGACAGAGACATTACATCCTGCTCTCAAACTTTGATGAAATTTTAATAAAATTTATTATTAAATTTTTAATTAATATAAATTTTACTGAGAATATAAATGTGTTATTAATAATTAAATTTCTTATATTATATAGGACATATTAAAATTTATAATTAAATTTGTAATATTGTATAAAAATGTTATTAAGTTTATTACATAAAAGTACTGTTAAATTTGTTACATATATAAACATAAAAAGATCTACTTATATAATTTATAATCTATAGCATCGGAAATTGAACATATATATATATATATATTTTTTTTATTTTCAATTTGGATATTTGTGTCATGAATGAATTCTCTTACTTTATTATATCAATACATAATAGTTGATTTGCGGTATATCGCTTGTTGTGAAAGAGCAATTTGTATATCGGATATTTTTGGAGAATAATAGTAGGATATATACATATTCCATAATTTGTGCTTTTAATTTTAACGATAAAACCTCCGGTGAACTTTGAATTAATTTTAATAAAAAAGTATTTTAAAATTTTTTAAATTAAATATTCGGGAAAATAAAGAGTATAATGAATTTAATGCGAACTCTTCATTTTCATAGAATTTTAATAAATCAATTTTAAATAATTGATTTTAATACTTTCGTATGAATTTAATTTTACGATTATGAAAAGATATATTACAAATTAGAAACTTCAATTAGAAATTAATGTCTATCATTAGAATCAAGATCACAAATTGTGGGCTATTCTGTATGTAGCTACAGCTAGACTTCATGCAGCTAGACGATGCAACTCTGAATTTCTTACCGCATATCTAAACATATTTGCGAAATGAAATTTCTTCTAGAGAAAAATTTCTCCTCCCGTACTTTCGTATTGTACAAATGTAATAACATAGCTCGCCACATATTGCATTATTAGTCAATGCTCGAAATAAAATAATTTGTATATAACTATGATTATTTTTAGGATTGTGTTTATAAAAGTAAGAGTTTATAATAAAATATGTACGATTTGAAAGGAAGACCTGAAAGCTAATGAATTATTATATAACTGTCGAATATGATCAATGTATAAATAAAAGCGATTCTAGCCAAGATATAATATTGTCTTGTTATTTCTTTCATTGATGATTAAAATTACTTCTTGAACTGAAATCGTATTTTGAAATATTTAGTATACAGGGTGAGGCATTTTAATCGCCTCAAGTGAATATCTCAGAAACTAAAAAAAATACATAAGAAAATGTTTTATATGAACGTTGTAGATTTTCTTGGGGGAAAGAAGGTGGAAATAACGGATTTTGGATAGAGGGCACTATCAGGTCAAGGTCAACATGAATTTTTTAAGTGAAATCTCATTTTTTATTACATGTTCTTGTAGCATACATAAAATATTTTTTCATGCAGTACTTTTCGAGTTATAAGACTTGAAAATTACAGTACCACCGACATTAGCATTATGCAAGGTGTCTGACCAACGGCTAAAATCTCTTGAATGTTGTTCAGGATTATGTCCTGAATAACATTCGTTAAGATCAAGGTCACTGGAGAGATTATTTCTCTTATTTTCATTTTTACATAAAAATGAATTTTCAGTGCAAAAATGAAAATAAGAGAAACAATCTCTAATGATCTTGATCTTAACAAATGTTATTTAGGACATGATTCTGAACATTCAAAAAGTTTTAGTCGTCGGTCGGACACCTTACGTAATGCTAATGCCGGCGGTACTGCAACTTTCAAGCCTTACTCGAAAAATACTTTATGAAAAAATATTTTATTATAGCATTTTGGAAAGCTCTCAAGGTGTGCTACAAGAATATGCAATAAAAAATGGGGAGTTCCATTAAAAAAAATTCATATTGACTTTGACCTGATTTTGGTAGTGCCCCTCTATCCAAAATCCGTTATTTCTACCTTCTTTCTCGCAAGAAAACCTACAATTTTTATATAAGACTTTTTCTTGTATCTCTTTTAATTTCTGAGATACTCGCCTAGGACGATTAAAATGCCCCACCCTGTGTGTGTGTGTGTGTGTGTGTATATATATATATTCATACTTCTAAAGTTATATTTTTTTTGGAATATCTTTATTCATGCAAAAAAAAGATAACATAAAATCTATAATTCGAATTCCGCACATTTCCTCGACATGAAAGAAATAAATATAATCTGCAGACCTCATAGAGATTGCTTTTGTTCCATTTTTTTTTAAATTATCACACAATTTTTTTCCTTGATATTTATTTTATAAATTTGAAATACACATAGTTTATATCATACGTTTATTTATACATATAAATTTGGTATTTATATTGCAAAGCAACATTACGGTTGAGAGCAAAAATTAAAACGGTAAGAATCAATTTTTTCTGGGGAGCATTAATTTGTATTTATTATTATTATATGAAAAGTGCACGTATTACGATTAGTAAAAATTAAAAGTGTTGCACAACTTTCTAATTGTAAAAGAATAAAATGAATTATGCCAATTCTAAATGCTCCCGAGCATTAACCACGATATAAACTTTTCATTACAATTTATATGTGTCCAATTATTTGAAGTTTTATAATTACTATTATTGTACTTAAACGCGCATAACAATTTTGTCATATCTTTCACATTTTTTCTTGTATTAGAATTAATTAATACATATATTTCCTGTATTCAAAAGTAAAAAGGCGTAGAGAAAAAGATTAAAGAAAAACGCGAGATTTCCAGGAATAAGTTTAAAGATGGCCAAGGAGTTTACGAATGTTAAACGCATTTATAATGGCGCACAATTCAATTATTCTATTTCTGAAAATTGCCCTGACGACATACAAAAACGGACACACAGTACGTAATATTGACATGTGATTGCCCGTACATGTGTTTTACAAAATGATCCGAGGATTCGTCGTCTAATCACCTCGGACAATGATTCGCCTCGGTACAGGAATGTAAGACAACACATTTTACAATATCGTATGTAGAATCAGGAAATTACATCTTATTTAATCATCCGTATGTGTGTATTGTGTGTATATGTGTATGTATGTACGTATGTGTGTGTGTGTGTGTGTGTGTGTGTGTGTGTGTGTGTGTGTGTGTGTGTGTGTGTGTGTGCGTATGTGGGTGTGTACATATGCATACTTATAAACTTGTCCATTTTTTTCTTATTAGAGTCACTTCCACTTTATAAAATATTAGAACGAATGATCCTCCTTTAACTTAGTTAACGACCACCTGTTTGTTCTTGATAAACTTCAATGACATCATCATTTTCCATTTCCAGCTGAAATTAATGGTCTCTCTTTCATTAATAATATCTTTAATACTAATTCAAAATATTAATAAATGTGTAACACTGAAATATTGATTATTTATATAAGTAACTATTTATATATGTAGGTGAGTCAATAAGTTTATTATTAATTAATTAATTTATACTATATTTTGATTTTTGAGAGCAAATTAAGATTACTTATTGACTTGCCTATTGTGTAATAGAAGATTAATTATTTTGCTAATTCACATTTAACATAATTAACACATACATGTTTCTTAGATAAATTTTAAATTCATCTTTTAAAATATTACAAAAGTATACAACAAACATTACTGATACTAATTAGAAAATAAGATTTTTACTCCAGTAAAGTAAGATTTCATTTATTTGTCAATCAATTTCAAACGCGAACTATAAAATTGATTTACCTGCTTTGGTGTTTCATCATCATTGATTCTTTTACCATCAAAAAGAAACCTAAGCGATGTCATAGGTACACCCTAAACAAAATTAGGAATATTATCGCGTGAGTAATATATCAATTTAAGAGCAGTATTCATAGTCGATTCTTATATTCAAGGCTTATATCAAAAGTACAGTCTTAAGATGTCACGAACAATCAGAGAGCCATATTAATCTTAAGACATTACTTAAGACAATCTTATGCTTGTATTCATAGTCAGGCCTTATATTTAAGAATAATCCTTAAATTTATCTTCAGACACCTTACGAATTATTTCATTGGCTGTTGAGCATCTATAGATAAATTTAAGAAAGCCTTAAGTACATACAAGGTCTGATTATGAATACGGACATTAATAATAAGAATGGATGTGAATACCGACCTAAGCCTATTCAGAATAATTGGTTTAGCCGTTATTGAGATCTAATAATTTCAGGTCTGTTCTTTTCAGCTAAATTTCTTACATAATTCATCTTTTCTCTTTTTTTTCTCTCCAAAAAATTCAACTGAAAAAATAAGTCTGAAGTGCTCGTAATTTGATGGCTTGTATATAGATAAGTGACTCTCGTTGCATAAACTATTGTAAGTGCCTAAAAGAGAAGAATACAGTTCTCTCATTAGGTGCTTACACTATTCGTCTAGAGATTCTAATCGGAATTTAACTATAAGAAGGGATCCAATGTTTTTCTTTAAAATTGCGAGTGAGAAAGATACATTTTATCTTCTAGAGTTATGCAACATAGACAAGTTCAAAGATGTTCAATAATATTTGACTGAAGCAAATTTGAATAAAAAATATCGGATCAATCATTAATTGCTTGATCTCAGGAGTACTCCCTAAGTTTTGTGTTTTTAAGAATTCAAGGGAGATTATTTTATGCTTGTCATTCGCTAAATATTAAACAATAAATTTCTGTAATTGAACTAATGTACATTTTTAGAACTTAAAAGTAATACAGATAAATGTTTGATATTTAACGAAAATAAGAAAGAGCGTTCTAGTGCTGTTTAATATAAGAATAAAAAACAAATCTAAGGCTGGGTCTACAATGAGTCGGTATATTCTGTGATCGGTGAATCGGAAGCAAATCAAGAAGGAGAATCGGTGAGTCAAGATTGGTCGAAATAATGAATTAGTAGAGTTGGCCAGCAGCCAACTTCTAAGATTACCGACTACTGACTCATTGTAGACCTAAACTAAGAATAAAATAATGCTCAAATGCACCCAGGAAGTTTCTGAATACAACCCAGGAGATCGATTCTATATCTTGAAATGAAACGAAAATTACAAAAGTGAGCGAATTTAGTTTAGAATAATTGTAATTTCATTGATTAAAATCTAGTAAATTACAAAAGTTTGCTCACTTTTGTAATTTTCACTGTTTCAAAATATAGGGTGCCTTCCAACAAGAGATATACATGGCACAGTGAGACACGCATTACGTTTACATGGTTCGATTTACACTAAAGTTCATCGATGTTATGAAATTAATCAACCATAGCTATTCCTCTGAAGAATGAAATGACTGTGATTGATCAGTTTCATAACATCAATGTTATAACTTTGGCGTAAATCGAGCCGTGTAGATGTGGTCGTAATGAATCATTACATTCTTGTTGTTCACTGATGTTAAATAAGGATGAGATGATCACTGTGTTGTACTGAGTCGTTCGTTGGAAGACACTTATAGAATTGACTCCTAGATTAGAGAAGATCTCTCGACGCTAAAACATAATAATGTAGCCGACTGATTCGATTGAACATCAGAAAATACATTTTGTAATCCAATACAAAAATTTTTGCAAATTACATTACAAGTTCAAATAATTATTTTCCAAACAATATTTAAAAATTACAAAAATCTTATCATCAAATAAAGATACAACCGCAATAGAAGAAATAAAGAATTAGGAATAAGGAATAAAGATTTTAACCCATCAGAAATCAGATACACCAGCATACACAGTTTCTGATAGGTTGGAATCATTACTCCTTATTCCTAATTCTTTATTCTTTCTATTGTGGCTGCCTAAGAATTATCAATCCTCAAGATTCTAGTGTTACTACTATGAAGTTATCGGATATGCGTCAATAAAAAATGAAGTTTCTAGAATATTTTATTTCTTCATCAGTTCTTCACGTTCTTATTGCATTACTTTGATGAAACTCCACATAAAGAATAAGATACGGTATATGCGATCAAAAGATAATAAACGAGGGAACTCACCACACGATCACTGTAGGACTTCTTTAGCTTGCCCATCTGAGTGGTCATCTTTACCCTAAAGTGAATCTCGTTGCTGTCCTGAAAGAAAAAATAGATTTAATGTGCCTTGTGCGCGCGCAATAATTGATGTTTCTAGCATGTATCGCTTACATTTCCAACAACTTTGAGCTTGATGTACTCCGAATTCGCGTCGCCTGGACCGGCTTCGGGTTTTTGTTCCTAGTAGCACACGAGAAGGTTAGAACGCTAGTTTATTCAAACTCACGACGAAGTTCGATTCGGAATATCCCGGCGAATTAATTGTCGCCGGCCGCGGCCGCAGCCGCGAAAGCGCCGCGGCGAGATCGCAGGGACGCCGATCGCGTACCGGGGTGGCTTACCTGATTGTCGGACATCGTTATCAATTAAATTACAACAAACTTCTTCACCACGCGCCAGAAAACGCTAACCAAACACAAGATCGCAATATGGCGCCGAGTTTTTGTCAGTTTCCACAATCTAGTCCACTTCTTGTCCTGAGAGCAAACGAAGGACCGTAACGGTCGGTCGTTCACAAACTTATTCAATTTTTTCTCGCGACGCGAATGAAGTTAGGTTGGACTAGTTAAAATTAGGCTAGGTTATCGTATTATATTGTATTTAAAATGAGACGTGGGGGTGGAGGCTGTAATTCGTGGAGTTTACGAACATTCTTTTAGAGAATCACGTTTTAGGCAACAGATGGCGCTCATGTTACTCCCTCACTCTTAAGTCACTAGATTTCAACGCCTAGGGCTATATTCAGATTCCCACCTAAGTGCCCTATCCAAATATCACTCTATCCTTGTTTTTTATATTATATTTATTTTTATATATTTTATCAAACGTTAAACAAGGATACATAATATTCGAAGAATATCCGGATGAGAATCTGAACACATCTCAGGCTAGAATCGGACTACGCATTGAAGAATGAGATTGAAAATTGAAGTTTCCAATCAGAACAGGAGCATAACATTTCTTTGATGAAATTTCAATCTTTAATCTTTAATCTCAATCTTCAATGCATAGTCTGATTCCGGCCTCAGACTAAGTTCGGAAAAACGCTATTAAGGTGCCTTTTCATGCTGACGCTTGACGCTCATTTTTGACGTCGATATATCGACTGTAAGTTGACTTTGCTAAGTCAAGCTTTTAGAGTCGATTGTAAGTCGACTTTGTACAGACGTCCTTCAATATTGACTTTAGGACGTCTAGTGAGATTTTCGTTCTTGTGGAATCATTTCGTCCTTGTTGTTTAATTATAGTTAAACAAGGATAAGTGCTATTCGTGAGCGTTGAGGGCATGAATCGGACCACAGTCTAGAATGATTGACTTAAAGTCGGCTTACAGTCGTCTTTAAAATGGGACATTGTATGACTTAGAGACGTCTCCAAGTCGTCTAAAGTCGACTTACGGATGTCCATTTTTCAGACGTCTAACAGTAAGCGAATCGGCCAATCACAGTCAAGCAGTAAGGCAGCCATTTTGAAACTTAAGGCTTAAAACTTAAATCCATGGCACACAAAAACGTAAAGCCGTAAGACGTAATCAGTAAGCGAATTGCCCAATCATAATAGAGACCGTAAGGCCAGTAGCGAATCCAATCTTACAATTTTCTTACTAATTACGTCTTTATTGTGCCATGGACTTAATGTCTGTCGCACACAAAATTTCTGTAACAGTAACTTTAAGGAATCAACTTAAGCCGATGAGCCAATCAGAATATTGCTTTAAATCTTAAAACGTACTCTAACGAAAATAAAAATAGTAGTAAACTTATAAGGCGAGTTTCAACCAGTTGAAATTCACCTTATTGCGAGATTATGGATAAGTTTACTGTCATTTTCATTAGATTACGTAATCTAAAGCAGTATTCTGATTGGTTCATCGACTTAAGTTTACACCTTACGCATATTGTTTTGGAATTTTATAATACGTACTTATATAATTTATTTTATCTCTAAAAGATTACAAAGTTGTATATTCCAATACAAGATTTCGGCAACATTAGACAACAATTTAATCTAATTACGTTTAAATTATGTTTAATCTTCTTACGTCTAATTACATTTAACTTAGTTCTAATTTATCTACAACTGCTGCCCCATATATTTCTATATAGATGCAGTAAAAACTACTAGCTCGTATCTAATTGATATAAATAATAGGAAATAATTAATGCAAACTTGTATCTTAAAACATATTAAGAATAAAACCCAAGCGAAAAATTGTAAAGTTTATATAATTAGTTAAGTTTATATTTTGGAATGGTGTTTTTTAAAATAGCAGTACTTATCACTGACTAATAATACAGGTATCTAAAATAAAATCTATGTGTGATCTTTTATGGACGAAAAATGTAACAGGATGTCTAATTACGGCAACGATTTTTTACACTCGATAAAAGGATTAAAAGATTAACTGTTAAAGTACTCGAGGCACATAGACCCGGTCGAGTGGGCAATTTCGAAATTATTGAATCGGATTGGTAGGACGTAAGATCCAAAATCTTAAGACCTTATAGTTTTCTATGTGCTATGGTAAGCGAATGCTTGTAAACAATTGACGACAACAGAGAAAAATATCCGAGCGCTCCTCGTTTCGATCCTAGACCTGGGTCTCTCCTCCGAGTTAGTAGACTTTCGTTCTGCCACTGAATCACATAATGACGATGGTAGTTTCTCTGTCATCCCTATTTCTGCCAGTAAATTTCTTACATGCCTTTGCAGGTTTGGATTCGACCAATGTGACATCATCATGCTCTTCCTTTTTTTCATCACCCTTAACCATAAACGTACATACCTTATCTACTAAAAAGCTTCCATGAAAAATTAGGTGTTGTTAGTTTCAAAAACATTTCCACATATATACATGTACGTATGTACAAAAATCTACAGTGTAATGTTTATCAATATGTTACAAAGTAAATGTTTTATATGGAACGTTTATGGAATATTGTAAAATTGACATTTCATTATCGCAAATATAGCATTGCTGTAATATCATTAAACGTTACAAGCCAAACATCCTAAATGAAACATTTATGGACTATCTTAAAATACATGTTATGAATGTCGCAAATGTGACATCATTGTAATGTCTTTGAACGTTGCAAACAAAATATCCCAAATGAAACGTTTCTTAGATGTACTAAACATTTCTTTTCTAACATCCCGAATTATTGAAATAATAGCTAAGATGTAATGGCATGTGAATGTTACAATTGAAATATTATTTTGCAACATTCATGAAACATTTTATAAATTTTTTTATTAACATTTCAAATTTGCAGTAAATAAAACATCCCCTGCATGTTTTATATTTAGTGGATAACAAAAATAAAACTCGAATGTATACTGTTAAATATGTCAAAAAAGCAAATAACAATCTAATCCCTTGAAATAATTTTATTTTAATTTATTTTATCCTTCAAATAACATTTTATTTTAATTGAGCTTCTGACATATCAAGGATAATATTTTTATAATCTTGCGATGATTTTTATCGCATTTATACGCATTTGAATCTAAAGACTTAATCTTGTTCTTATTTGCTCGATATATCGGCAAGCAGTAAAAGCAATTTTTCATGTGATCGAAAAACATTTCATTGGTACTTTTTACCAAATATTTTATCTCTGGATAGAGCTTTTTATGGCTACACAGATGTGCACTCATTATAAATTCTCTCCGGCTCTCATTACATTCTTCGTGATCTAACGATATTGCATCTAAAAAACACCAAAGTTTGTATTGAGCGAAAGTGTTGAAATAAGTAATATGATTTACATACAATGACTTAGGTTATATCATGCACTTGATATGGATACTATGGTCCGTAAATAAATACAAAAGTATATTTGTCACTATATCCTTCCGCTTTTCCGCGGAAATTGTGCTCCACGTAATATTAGGATCAAAACAGGCGGAACAGAACGCGCGGAAACGAGAAAATCGAATAAAGTTTAATTTTGTTTTCCGCGTTTTCGCAATTCCGCGCTTCATATTGGGTCATCTAAAAAGTATCCGCGGTACTTTGTCACTAGATATATGACCATCAACACACATCTAGTGACAAAAAACCGCGGATACTTTTTAGATGACTCAATATAATGGCACCCTAAGGTCGCTATGAGCGGAAATTTACAGCAGAACAGAAGTGAGATCAATCACAATCGCAGAAAAGAAAACAGATAACACCGTGAATAACTTACTCTGTATAGAATTGTGTACTTACTCCGTGTACCAGGCATTATCAATTTTGAATCTATTATCAATTTTGTTTGTACTTTCTGGTATTTGTTTCTACCTATGCTGTCGCTTTTTTCGTTTATATCTAAAACAAAAAACGATATATTTATATATTACATAATGTGGATTCAATTCATCTAAGGCTAGAATCTATTTAGGGCTGCCGCACGCAAAATTTCGTAACAGTATGCATAAAGTGTAAACTTAAGCCGATAAGCCAATCAGGATACTGCTTTAGATTACGTAATCTAACAGAAATAAAAATAATAGTAAAGTTATCCATAACTTCGCAATAAGGTGAATTTCAACTGATTAAAACTCGCCTTATGAATAAGTTTACTGCTATTTTGATTGGTTCATCAGCTTAAGTTCATTAAGATTACTATTACAGAAATTTTGTATGCGGCAGCCCTTATCGCATATCGCGTAACCGCGTAACCAATTAATAATCAGTAAAACACGAAACTACAACAGCGAAATGCTTCGGATTGATTATGCCTACTGCACACTAGACGCGATGAGTGATGAACGATGAGCGATATCCAATAAAAACTCTGCTTTTTTTCATGTGACGATACTTAACAAAGCTTTCATTGGATATTGCTCATCTTTTATCGCTTATTGTGTTCCATGTGCAGAAAGTGATTACGCAATACGCGGTAAATACACCTCATGGGACTCTAGCCTAATTGCTTCTGCACACTGAACTGAATGCAGAAACGCTTGTCGCGTAAGAAAATGCGACGCGGTATTCAATAAATAGAATCGATATCAATATCGATTCAACGTCAAAATCATCAAATTGACATCGAACCAACATCGATTGTCATTTCTCACTGTGTCTAGATATAGGACGGTATTTATAGTCCGTTCTTGTTTCAAGACTATCTTAAATTATGTCTTAATACGCTAATATGGCCCTCTAATTAACTTGTGACTTTTTAAAACTGTACTTAAAACGATCTTGAATGTAAAATCTGACTATAACTTATATGGGCTATATAGGTAATGCTCCTGCCATAATTCCTACTCACTCTAATAAGCGTATTGAAATAAGTTATGGTAGGAACATGTTGAAGCATGTTGGAGTATGCGATCAGAGCCACCCCCTCTGAAGAATCTTCCCTCTTGTTCCGAGCGTTATCATTTGTGGCAACCTCATAATTATGACACAGGAAATGAAGAACTAATATTTAATATGACTGTTATATATAAAAATCATTTCCGGTCGACATCTTTATCGTCATATAAGCATATGGCTGCGTTCACTATGGACGCGTTTAAGCGCTTGTAATCACCATTCTATTTTTATCAAGCGCTTTCAGTTTGAAAAAGAACCCGTAAAATATAAAATATATTACTAGTGTTACTATTAGTGCTACTACTAATGCAAGAATAAATTCGCGTCATTATACTGTTCCTTGCATTTGTATTCAAATCATTTTTATATGTATTACAATAGTGCATTAGACAATGCCACTACTCGTTCCAGTAGTGACATTATTACATTAATAATGATAATAATAATACAGTATAATAATGCAGTAATGTACAAGTGCTACTGCTCATTCCAACAGTAGCACTTACATGTACATTACTGCACTATTATACTGCACTAATAGAATCACAATTCATCTCAGTTTATGTTTCACTTCATGTTTTTCCCCACATTGGCAAATCTAATGATTTTGTATTTTCACTTCGTCATTACAGAATCACGCGGCAAACTCACGTGAGATGAAAGTGCGAAAAGTGAGTGATCTCAGTCGAATTACAGAATCGACCCCTACAAAACTAGAGGGATTTTTACTACGATAAAAGAAGTGGAGATTCCGATAAATTTTAAATATAACGTGACATGTTCGAATATCAAAAATATGCGTGATCGGGTGGAAAGAAACTGATCAGAGATATATGAGTGTTGATAACTCACGAATCCGTTTAGAGATGAGTCATAAGCATAGAGTATAGATAATAGGAGGCCACGTAGCTTTGAAAGGTATAGAAATATTCATTATATTTGTATAAAATTTCATTTTATTTAATGAAATAATTTTAATCAAATCTTATAGGAATTTTATACAAATCTTTTGTACAAATCTTTTATACAAATCTTATAAAACTCGATAAAACACGAGAGAATTCATATCCGATATCAATCGTGATGCTCACTTGGTCGACGATAGAAAGTGATAAATAGATAAATTTATAGAAAACTATACAAATTGATAGAAATCTTATTATCATTCCCAATTGTTTTCTATCAATTTTTTTTGCCAGGATTCTGTCCTGTGTTCAGATGAAAAAATGAACAAGAGAATAAAATGAATAGAGATACTTTTGATTTACAAAATCAAACGCAGATTATGTTTTATATAATATTTATATTAATTGCTATTAAGAATTAAACGAAATACACGGTTATTTTATCGCATATCGTATTGCGCTACATCTAATTTCTCTATAGTCGTGTACTTACCGACAAAGCTAACTCGACTATACAAGTACAAAACAGATGAAGAAATGGAAGAACATGCCCTTCTGTGTCCTGTTATATAGTACAGAGGATAATTGGTAGTGGGGAGCCTATAATCAGAGTGACGCCATACGAGAGATGCATTTTGCTCCTAAAATATGGGAACAGAGAATGGATAATAAACTAGCGCATTTAATAGCGCAAATAATGTGCAATAAATAACGTTTTGTATAAAGTAATGTGCAATATTACAAAATGTACAATATTGCAATAGTACAAAATAAATGAAATTTTATAATAAATATTAGGTGTTGGAATTAATTCGTAGCGTTTTACAAGTGATGGGAAGTACTTTCATTAATGTATTTTTTAATGCTCATATGAAATAAATAACATTCTTTCATTAAAAAACGCTACGAATTAATTCCAACACCTAATAATATATGTAAAAGTTTTATTATTTTATATACAATATATTATTATTTTATATATAATATTTATTTATTATCATTTTTTAATTTGTCACAATTTTTGAGTATTTTTTAGCATGAATTCAAAATTTAAAATAATGCATTTAAAAAACTGGAGGGAATGGCTAAAACATGGCGGACCAATCACAAGTGATACCCGTCGATGACGCCACAATTTCAACCTATTCGAAACTGTGTATTCCACATACATGATTTCTATACACACTGTATGATAGGTTGAAATAGGTTCTTATTCTCTGTTTTCTGTTCTCTGTTCCTTTTATTATGTGGAGCTTCATATACAATAGTACGCACAACTCGAATGCGTGGCACCGAAAAGTTTGCACTCGGTGCGCACTAGTGTAGTTTATCGAATGTGTCATTTCTTTTTCAGTTTTATATTCTAACTTGTTTGTAGGTTATGTATCGAAAGTTTATTTTATAGGTTATATTATTTATTAAATTAATATTATCTAAACAAATTGTAAAAAAACGATATGGTATGTATAATAAATATTTATTTTCAGATTATTTTTTGAGTTATTAAATCATTTTGCGTTTATATGAATGCAGAATTTATGTACAGAAAAATTAATTAACAAGAAGTGTCATGAGAGTAGTCAATAATTTATTTATAATTTTTATTTATAAATAGAATAATCGATTTTTTCAGTAAAGCTGATAAAGCGGAATGATTGTGATGAAGCCATTTTTTCCTTAATGCATTTAAACATCAAAAATTATGTCTTTAAGTGACAAGACGATTGTTACGACTATAGAGAGGGACGACAGAAAGAGCGTACGAAAGCAGAAACGTGCTCATCACAGATTGCTCCGAGACATGAACATTAAATGTACCGAGCAGCCTACGCAGGTAAATGTGCTTATTCTAGACTAGAATGTGAAATTTATTTTAATCACTTTTAAGCTTGATATTTTTCACAGCACCTGATGATATGTAATGGTGGTCTAGTTACTGGTATCAAGAGAGAGACATTGCAGTGTGTATTAGATCCTCTGATCTCCAAGTATACTTTGATAATGCCAACAAACAAGTCATACTGCTTTGTAACGTGTAGTTCAAAGGAGGATGCAACCTGTGTATACAACTATATTCATGGACGCATTAAGCTTCCGGGTCAGAATGGCCCATTATACGTATGCTATACTGAAACAGGTATACTGTTATAGTAGACTACTATTATAGTAGAGTACTTCTACTGTTATAGTAGAACTATGTAATTCTAATTACAATTTAGAATTCTTTATGTAACAATGTAATATTCTCTTTTTAGTTTCTACCACAGATCATGTTGTACCCGATCTTGCATTCCCCCCTGGTCTTACTTTAATTGAGAATTTCATAACAGAAGAGCAAGAGAAAATTTTGTTAGGAACGCTTAATTGGGACAAATGTAAAAATGTGATAGATTTGCAGTCAATTAATTTGAATGAATATGGTAAAATAGATTTGCAATATATAATTCAATAATGTAATTAAGAAGATAGCTTAAAGAAGAGTGTTTTTCTCGTTTTAGCTAGTACTTTAGCAACTGTCTGGTCACAATTGAAATACAGAGATGTAAAACATTTTGGGTATGAGTTCGAATATGACACAAACCTAGTAAATCTTGACAAACCCATCGAGCCAATTCCCCAGGAATACAAATTTTTGCAAACTTTATTTGACAAGCATGGTCATAAGTACACTTATGATCAGTTGACTATCAACAGGTATCTACCTGGACAAGGTAATCTTGATATTCATACAATTTCGTAAAATTGTGCTTATTTTTAAAAAATTGTTTAACAAAGTAAAGATTTTTCGATTAAACATTTTAGTTTCTTATTATATTACATTAATATTAAAATTATATGATTTATGTAAATTGTATAATAAGTTTAATATATTTTAATCGTAGAATTAAATACAATTGAGTTAATAATTTGGATCATTAAATTCAAATCATATATTAGTAATATATGATCTTATTCAGGTATACCACCGCACATTGACACACATAGCGTCTTCGAAGACACTATATTATCTCTATCACTGGGATCCACATGGATCATGAACTTCAAGAAAGAAGATCAAAAAATCGATGTTCTCCTGCCAGCTAGATCTTTATTGATTATGACAGGAGAAGCGAGATATGCATGGACACATGGCATCTGTCCTCGTTATAGTGATGTTATTAAGACAGAAAATGGACCTACGTCGCAGGAACGTGGTATCAGAATATCTTTCACCTTCAGAAAAGTACGACATGGTGAATGCTACTGTGATTTCAAAAACTATTGTGATACTGCGAAACGTGAAACTTTCATTGACGACAAGGCGGCGTCGGGATTGGAAAGTTCATATGTACATAAGGTGTGTAGATTCGAACGATGTGTGAATGTTTTGTTTCTTATGATTACTGAAATTGTGCTCTTACAGGTTTATGAGGAAATATGTAATCACTTTAGCGAGACGCGACATAAACAATGGCCCAACGTAACAAAATTCCTTGAAAGTTTAGAAGAAGGCACATTGCTTTTGGATGTGGGTTGCGGGAATGGCAAATATCTTTGTGGAAATCAGAATGTATATAAGGTACTTTCTTATTATTTCATTAATAGTAGCTTAATTAATAGGAATCAATTAAAATTCAAATAAATATCAATAATAAGAAAGTCGTGATAGATGGAATGATAAACGGAATGTAGTTACATTTATACAATTACTTTAATTAAACTACAATTGTATTCACAAACCATACGTTTCGACTCTAATTCGATCTCCATTCTCAGTAGTATTATAATTAATATACAAAATTAACGATAGTTCCACATCTTAATAAAAATAAGCAAATGTTTAGATTTAATGAAGTTAGATGTCTTTTTTTTTACCATAATTGAATATAAACGTTTTTTTATTAAGATACGGAACTATTAATTTTGTATATTAATCATTGATATTGTTGAGGATAGCTCGAATTGGAATCGAAACAGTTTGTAAATCGAATGTAGTCTGATTATGATACATATTAAAGTAATTGTGATAAATGTGATTGCGCTCTGTTTATCGCGCCGACTCCTATCTTTTTTTATTGAGATTTGTTAAGACAGAAGTTTTTTGTTACATTATTATTTTAATTTTATTGTTGATTTAATTAATAGGAATATATAATTAGGTATAAAAAAAGTTGAATACGCTGACATTTAGTTTGGTTTACATTATACCCTTTCAAGCAGAGGCGTTACTAATCTCGAGAATTATCTTAGATGGGATGTGATCATAGCTCTGGATTGATGGATATATGTCGCAAACGAAGCTTCGAGGTTCTTCAGTGTAACTGCCTATATTTACCGTATAAAGATGATTCCGTGGATGCGATAATCAGTATTGCAGTCATTCATCATTTATCCACTGAGGAACGAAGACTACGAGCCATCTCCGAGATGGTTCGAGTGCTGAGACCAAAAGGGAGATGTTTGATTTATGTGTGGGCAATGGAGCAACGCAGGAATTCCCAGGATTCGTTCTATTTAAAGTCTGGCAAAAAAAGCAAGGAATCTGAGAAGATCAATCAAAGCAGAATCAATCATGAGAGAATCTCCGAGTGTAATTTAACGTTACCGATTCACGAAAATAGGATGGTCTTTCCTCAGAACGATATGCTGGTTCCCTGGACTAAGTGTATTTCGCGATGGCGAGCTCGCGAGATTGTGCACAAAAATACTATTGGCCTCGATTAAGGAGGTGTACTATGATCAAGGCAATTGGTGTGTGATTTTGGAGAAATGTACAGAGATTATAGAATAAAAATTAGATTGAGATAATTAATCTTCCAAAATTATATATTTTTAAATCTAGTCGCTATCTATTAAGTCCACTAAATCTATTTCTTTTCTTTCCGAAAATGGTGATTTGACGAGAATTTCATCGTCTGAATCATCTGAAGAATTAAATGTACTAAAAACTTCTTCTTTCTTAATTGAATTCTGCAAGAACATTAAAAAATTATTGCAATTAATTATCAATTTCAAAACAAAATTGAAAAAATTATAATACTATAATAAATATGTTCTTTCTCTGTACTTACGGGAATAGGTATTAATTCAGCAGATCCTTCTTCATATTTTATAATACAACTCTTTTCTTCATTTTCCACTTCCATGAAATCATCTATAAAATTGTATATTTACATATATAATTATATTTCGTGTATCAAATAAAATAAAATTAATTTTTAATTATTAATTTTAATTCAATGTAATTTTAATTTTAATGTAATGTAAAAGCTAATTCTAATTCTAATTCTTAAATATGATTAGAATTCTAATTCTAATTCTTAAATATGATTATAAAAAATTAAAATTAATTAAAATTTATTTCAATTTATAATAAAATAAAATTAATCTGATTTAAATAAATTTAATCTTAACACACATGCATATATAAAAAATAAATTGGATGAAATATATACCTTTGTCTATAGCTGTTGCGTCCCATTTACGTAATTTAATGCTAATGTGATCACCAATCATTGTCGTTAATTTATTCACTTGTATGCTTTCTTTAAATTTAGATATGTTATTGTCATCTTTTTTATATCTATAATAAAATATCTTTTTAATAGTTTTAATTTTCTTCTATATTATTTAAAATAATCAAAGAATTTCTTCTCTGATTAATATTTCAAATTAAATTGTACGTGAATAAAAAAAGTTAATGTCTGTCATGAATATTTAGATTATTTATTTTATTATATTTTATATTTTATTATTTATTATATTTTATATTCGTAAAAATTATTTTAAAATTAAATTAATACACAATATAAATAAGGTATTACTTTCAGAACAAATCATACCTTGATTGCACATCCTTGATTACTGCCTCCTTGATCTGCTGCACCAATTTTGTTGCATAATTAGCTGCATCATTAGAAACAGCGGATATGACATCTTTGACAGTCATAGTTTTTGTTAAATAATCGAAATGCAAGCTACAAAGTTCTCTATAAGAGTTCACGCCGAGAGTAAGTTCAGCGACACCAACTTTTTCTTCTATGTAAGTGGGATCCATTATAGTGTTGCCACTGTGAAATTCATAGATTTTACATTATTTGTGTGTATAGTTCAGAAATTGTTAAATTTTATTGGTAGATTTTTTTTGTAGGAAGGAAATTTTTTATCTTATATAAAATTCAACAAATAATTTCTATTCCATCAACCAACCTCTTAAAAGTTATAAAAGATATGCAGACCGGGTAGTGGAACAATGTCAATGGTAGAAAATCTTTCTCGGAAGCTGGATGTATGATAATTTCCTCGCCGGTAGACGTGACGTCTGGCCTATGAAAATGCATAAGAGCAGCGAGCGTCGCTATTGAAGCACAATCCACAAGATTCCCATCATGATTTATGATATTAATGTCAATTCTCAAATTCCATACCTGAATAAAAAACCATATAAGTCATGACATAACAAATGTTACACATAATATTTAACAGGTGCTTTTCAAAAGAGTACACAAATGAGACAGTGTAACATACCAAAACATTTCATTTCTATTTAACATTGGCAAACAACAAATATATAATAATTCACTATTATATTACAGTTATTTTGTGTTATCTGTATCTTTTATTGATTAGTATCCAATATCAAGCACTCTAGTAACCTTCTTATCTGCTACTATACAGAGAGATTCTAAATCCACACATTTTGAATCTTTAAAACATTTCTCCAGCTGCCTATTAATCAATATAGCTGCTTCAGACTGTCTACCTCCTTCAAAATGTTGTGCTGCTAAAGGAGCAAGCTCAACATTTATGCGTATCATGCCTTCATTAGGACGAGATGCTTTTGGCTGTTGTATATCACATGATACTTGTGCTACGGCTCTGCAAAAGGATTTTTTTTTCAATACTTTATATATTCATTAAAAATAATCTGTATATATTATTAAATGAAATTTACTTTGTATGTCCAAGAGATACCATACAACACCCCCAATTGGAGCTAAAGTAGATTTTTGCTAAACGTGGTTCTAATAATTTTCGGCCGTCTAATCTCTGAAATGATAGATTTATTATAAAGTTTTATTATTGCACATGCATGACACAAAATGTTTATTTCAAAATTTATATCCATAATTATAAAATAATAAATAATATATTTTTAAAATATATTTATTATTTTATAATTATATTGGATAAATGATACATTAATTTGATGATTAATTAATGATACTTTAAATAATAACATTAATTATAAATTATAACAATACATTATAATTTTTAAAAGATAATAATTATATAAAAATTATTAATAAATTTATAGGAAAAGTACTTACCGTTTCCTCCTCTATACATTTGTTTATAAAATTTCGTTCACAATTTGAGACAGGAATTTCCTTCATCTTTTAAAAATATTATCAAGGAAAGGTATTAAAACTTATACTACTTTTATGTGTGACAAATAATTTGCACCTTGAAATTTGTCTATGATTCATAAATAAATTATAATCTATAAACAACCCGTACACGTCGTTGGAGTAAAATATTGTATTGTACAATATATTGTACTTCGATTACAAAGTTACTAGATTGACGATCACAACGATTGATGTTTGGAATTTTTCTAGAAACTCTAGATGCTCCCATGTGATTGTTTGACTTCCGATTCCATTTCTATCGAGAAAGTTCCGGAAGTGTCCCGGTAGATGTCGCGGGCTTTGCGGGACGCAATCTTATCCAGTACTGCACTCTTGTCTGATGGATTGTTTTTACGTTCGAAAATAAACACGGTTGCGTTCTCGCTTGCCTTGTTTGAGAGACGAAATGGCCATATGATTGAATGCGTGTTGCGCACAAGGAGATGAAGTGAACGGTCAACGGTAACTTTGAAGTTCGAGGAAAAGCTTCCACGGAGAGGAGAGCGTTTTAAAGTCGTTTGGAGTTAACTGTTAAAGCTTTTTGCGTCTTAAGAAAGCACGTTCTATTTAGAATCTACAAAAAATTGTAATTCCTGAATATTAGGTCGGAAGTCCATCTGGAGGGAGGGGGGGAGAGGGGCAATAAAGAAGAAGACGCGCGCCTACGCTGAAGATGTCGATCGTCGTGAGAATCGTAAGAAAGTGAGCGACTCGATCAGCACATCGTCAAGTTTATTGCGTAGCTACTGTGATCTTCGGGTCAGATAATCATTGGGCACAGAAGCAGAAGAAGAGGAAAATAACAACTTCTAGTCCTAGTAAGTAATATTCGGAGACCTCATATAACTAGAAAAGAAGAGGAAAAGCGACAGGACGCAGTCAGGACAGAAAAGATTCTACTTTAATTCCTTTGATCCTCTGCACGATCGAAAAATCTATTTCCGGCTAGTACACGACATTGCAGAAAGAGAAAAACTTGTCGCGAATCTTCCTCGCGCGAGATGACCGGCAATTCTTTCCCGAGACAAACACCAGGGTGATCTAGTCGCTAATATTGTATCACAAACACGAGAGTTCTTGAAAGAACGAATTGGACGAATCTTCTTTAGGATAGATAAATAGACAGGTAGGTGAATGGTTGCGATCTCGCATGGAGATTAGATGGGCGCTGTTGAGGTTAGGAATGATCGCAGCGTGTGGCGAAACTTCACCGAAGAGGAGCGCCTCGTAGTTTGCCAAGTTTTTGATTGCTTTCGTAACTGCTTTTCATCGCATCGTGACGTCTAGGTACACAACGCTGAGAATGATGGACGCAGGAATGTACACGTTCAAACCATTTGTATTTACCAAGCCCGTGGTGAAAGGAAAGGAACAGCCAAAGGCCAGAAGCGGCCACCGGATTGCTTGTGATCATAGGAATCTGTACTCATATGGCGGCTTCAATCCATGTGTATCTGATACCGACCCTGACATGCGTGATGACCAGATGTGGAGTGCTAGCAAACCACTGTTTAAGGAACTATGGCGTTTCAACTTTGTTAGCAAGCGCTGGTCCCGGCTACCTGGCCAGGAAAATATGCCGAATGAACTAGCATCGAATGCAGTGATACTGTGTGGCAATACACTGATGGTGTATGGTGGCACTGGTGTGCCATTCGGCGAGAGCTGCAGTAATCAGCTGTACGTCTGCAATGTGGACGATGGCGCTATCAACGCCGTGCCAGCCATAGGCGAGCTACCTGAACCTCAGTATGGGCAGGTATAATCATTTTTGTCCTTATCATTTTAATTTCTATCTTCTCAGGGATATAGTACCAAGATTTATTTATCTAGTCATGTACCCTGTGATTTGTAATTTTTGTTTCTATTATATTGGAATAATATTGTTTCTATTAAAAATTGTCATGCATAAGATAGGAAAACTTGAAAACAGAGCTTGAATTGTTTGCTTGATGGTTTAACTATTGATTGGCAAACCATTAATTTTGTTCAATAAGAGATAACTGCTCTGTCATGGAACTAGCCAATATCCTAACAAGAAATTGATTAAAGTAATGAAAATGAAAAAAAAAGATTTATCAAAAACTAAATGTTAATCTCAGATTTTATGATAAAAATCTCAAGACTCTAATCTACACTGTTTTGATCTGTTATTATTTTTTTTATTACTTATATGCAACAAATTTTTACTTGTATAATAACTTGTATAGTAGTAAGATTATTTATTTTCTATCGATAGGCACTAGTATGCCATGGTTCCTATCTCTATACAGTCGGTGGCACTACTGGTTATGAATATACCTGCGACATTCACCGCTTCGATTTGAGAAGAGGTGTCTGGGAAGTAGTATATATTTGCTCAGGCAAGGATGAATCAGAACCTCATGGCAGATACAGGCACGAACTTGCTTTTGATGGCAAGATGATCTATGTTTTGGGTGGTGGTACTTCGACAGAATCATATGGTTTCTTGGTGAGTGAATAAACATATAAAGCTTCTCTTAAAAAGTATAAAGTAGTACAACTGCTTTTATATATGTCATGGTAAAAATATAAAATTTAGTAACTGTATATGAACTAGTTAATGTATGCATTTATTTAAGGAATTTTAGCAAAAGTATCAACTAAATATAAAAATATCTATTATTTCTAATAAATGTATTGATTTATTAGATAAGCATTTGCTTATAACACATTAATAAAAGCATAATATTGTGAGTCTGTAAAAGTATACAATTTAATACATGTATTTTGACTAGTAAGTGTATATGCAGTTCTAAATTTTATGCTTTTATTGTGACATATATATTAATATAATATGTGTTGAGGTGCATATATATTAAATATATATATAATTATTAATATATTGAATTTTCTGTAAAAGTATATATAAAAAAATATGCAATATAATTTTAATTTTCTCGTGTAATGTTTTGAATAAATTTTTTCAGGAAATACCGGCGTTTGATTTGAAGACTAATAGTTGGAAGATTTTGAACACGCATGGCGAAACTGAAGAGACTATGGTACCGGCGCCAAGACGTTGTCACGGTTCTGTGCAGTACACAGACGAAAAGAATGGCACTACTTCAGTCGTTATATCGGGTGGTTACAATGGCGACCGAGTGTTTAATGACGTTTGGCGACTTAATCTTAGCACACTGCGATGGACACGCTTGCGAGAATGCATTCTACCATGTCCAGTGTATTTTCATTCAGCTGCGCTGACTCCGGAAGGTCGCATGTACATATTCGGCGGTATAGTCAAAATGAACAACAAGGTTATTATCGTATTCTAAATAATGTGACGTTCTACAAAGGTTTTTTATTCAATACACTTTCATTTACTTGTAATCAATTATTGGTTATTTGAATATTTTCATCATTACAGGTGAAAAGAACAAACGCGGTTTACTCTGCTTGGCTAACAATTCCCAAATTGTCCGAGATCTGCTGGGAAGCGTTGAATTATTATTGGGAGGATTTGAAAGACGCTTCACCGGACGAGTTGCTTAGCATGGGGATACCATTAAAATTCGTACAAAGACTTGAATTCTGCGACTGGTGAACGATTAGTTTCCTCGATATCTTCAAATTCTCAAATCGGATGTTTTTTACGCTATACGCACTTTAAAATGTTCGGCCACGCTTCGATCATTCGATATTTAGATTTATATAGAGGTGATTCAACTTCTGAAATTTTTGATTTTTCGAGAAATGATGAAGTGTCGAATTCTCGTATCTCTTGTAGCAATAGAAGAGTTTCTCCTGTTATAGAACGATTCGAGACGCACTGTGATTATAAAATAATGGCAAATATGAGATATTTTCCAACAATGTACACAAGTGACACAGTATAATACTGGTTTACACAAAGTGTTCCAACTATAACAGTGTTACACTGTTCGATACAGTAAAAAACTAAATACGAGCGTGTAAAATATGTCAATGTTATTAACTACTATGTTAGAGCTACCAAATAATTTTTTAAAAAGTACTTATTTTGCAATAAAACCTTCAAAAATCGCCAAATCTGAAAAAATTATAACTTAAGTTTAAATAAAAATCATAAATTTATTATTGTATTATTATTATATACACTAAATATAATTATAAGAATAGAATGGAAGACTGCAATGCATTCTGGTGTTACACTGTGAAATTAAACTGTTCCAACCGTTTCAACAAGTACTTTACACAGTGGAAATATCTCTGTGTCCTAGCTGAAAAAACGGCCATGGAGAATTGGATATGCATGCTCAATCAGAGTTGTCAAGTATTTTTTACTAAAAAAGGGATTAAGCTTTTAAAAATTTTAAAGTGTAAGAGCTGTGTTTATAAACTCAAATTAATGATAACATGTTTTTCAAATCTCAAGTATATAAATAGTATGCAGAAGTCAGGAATGGCCAAGAAAAGGTAGGCGATCTTCACGAGCAATAACTGCAACATTAATCCAAAGACTTCTTCTTAACTGACCAATGAATTTCTGATTCCTAAATTAGAATCGCAGTACCACAGTTTCATCAAATCACTGGAGTATCAAAGATTTCTATTCTACAGACATATTGTTGCCAAAAGGACAAAAGTGTCAGCATGTAAAAGAGAAATATTTGGAAAAAATGATCTAAATTAGGACTAAGTAATACATATAATTTTATTGCCATTACTAAAATTCCTGACGGAAGTTGAATCATCCTTAACTTTTGATGCGACTTTTTTACTATTTTATCATAGTAATGTAATCAATCAATGTAAAGTAATTTCACATTGTACATTACTATTTATTATATTTGTGACAGTTGTAACTTAATAGTGCAAACTATTATCAAAATACCAGACCTTTCTTCTTTCTTACATTTGCGATTCAATCTGACAATTAACTTTAAATTACTGAATATGTATGGTATTTTCCTAATATTAACAGCAATTTGACACATCTTTGTCTAAAACATTGTACAAATATAATAAGAATAGTTTAAAAGAATAATATATAAAAAGTTACATAAATTTAAGGATATGATTCATCATTCATATATTTAATGTTATGTACAGTATATTCATTCTGCCTTTATTCTATTAATACATAGTATTAAATGTATTTACATCTGTTTCTTTAAGAATGTTAGAATTAGAGATCATCGACGATTCACTGCGCGGCGATGAGATTTTTCTGAATATTTAGATGTGACAAGTGCAAATAATATTGAAGAATGCATGGGTCTGTTTTTTTTAGTTTGAACTTCTTGCATGGTTTACATTTCCTCTTTTTCTCTAATGAGTTAGAAATAAAAAAAAAGAAATAGTGCAACAAGTTTCAATTAAAAAAAATAGACCTAATACAGTATTAAATTGTGTGTTTTGTCTCAAAAAGATTGTTAAACGTATATTTGTCCGCAGTGCCTATTAATTACAGCGATGCTCGTTAAACTGCTCGTTTGATAAATAAAAAATTTCAAGGATGCCCCTTGACCGTAGTATTAATAATTTTCATTATTCTTTTCCTTCGTGCGTATATTTTAGGTTAAAAAGAAACATATTTTGAGCACAAAATTTCAACATAAATATTTTATACTTCATGTCATATGTATTTATAATGATTTAATCTTTCGTCTTATTTTTTCCTATAAATATCCGGGATATTAGTTTCATATTTTTAACTCTTTTTTTTTTTAAATAGGTGTTTATGCATTTTTTAATCACTTTTCTATTTAAGTCTTTTTGGATATGATTGAATATATGTGTCTATTAATGCCCGCGATGTAACTTCGCGATGTAAGATTGCTTGAATATAGGATTAAATTTCATGATTCTCTAATTCTGAGCAGTGTACCATGCATCGTAATTATGCAATAGATCCGATCCTCAGCGCTGTTTACCTAAGGTATTAGCTGTACATTAACTAATATCTGTTAAAAGAAAAAAAAGATTGTAAATACAAAAATGGAAAAGAGAGGAATACGGAAAAATCGATTCTACTGATTTAAACAATTTTGTTTCACAAATCCATATATTATAATGAAAATTGTAAAAAAAATATCGAGATTTGAAGAAATCACATAAGTAACAACGATCAAATTGAAGACGAAAAAAGATATTCAAGACTCTCTAGTGTCTGTATCTTCTTTAAGTTTCCAAATTACTGGTATTTGATCAGAATAAAAGTTTTTTTTTTTTTAGACAAAATCGATGTAATTTTATTTTCGTTGATTGTATTCTATTATTGTCCCGTTATTTAAAAGTAAAATAAAAAATATATTTGTAGAGTATGTACTAAAAATATTTAAAATTATTTATATATATTTTTTAGCAAATCGAAAAGTGAAAAAATACGTAAAGAAGTTTTACGTGGCTCTACTTCGTCCTCTCGTGTTGCTCGGAAGGAGGATAAAATAAAAAATCTAGCAGAGCGTGCTATCTATATACCAAGGACATTATTTTTATTGTGATTGTGCTAACGAGGACGATAAAGACGTATTCGTTTTTGGTTTTTTCCTTCATTGAGATATTTTCCAAAGTAATTTAAACAGTCGCGATGTGGGGATGTGATGAAATATATATAAAGGCAACATCCATCACGGGTATAAATAAATCTTCTACAATTTCGCGAGAGAAAATTGTTGTGCAAAGAAGTATTTCTGTTCTTTAGACGCGGAATCAAAAACAATTTCGGTGAGTACAATTCCCGTATCATGAAAAAGTGTAATAACCGATGCCAAACCGAGTAACATTTAATTTGTCGATTTTTACAATCAGAATATATTCCAATATATACATAATAGATTTCAGATATATAGATATAAATTTCGAATAAATATTGTCAATTTGGAACATTAAATAATGCGTCATTTGCATTTTGCGTCTATGATTGTACTACAAAAAAATTTTATGGAAAAAATTCTTATATACTTTAATGTTAATTATTGAAATTATTATCAATATTATTGAATTCAATTCGCGGCCGGTTTAATATTTATATTTATACGTATCGCGTAAATTCGCGTAAATATTTAGTATCTTCAGAGAATTATCTTTAAAAAATACTACCTTTAAAAATATTCTCGAAATCGAATGTATGTCTAAGAGAAAAGAAAAACATTCGCATATATTTATGACTATTAAGAGAAACATTTTTTTAAATTTTAACAGTTAACAATTTTTATTAATCTAATTATTATCCAATATTTTTGTTATTTATTTTTCAACTATTTCAATCTATTCCAATCTTTCAACGCGATTTTTGTTACACGTTTATCGAACACTTATTTTGTAATCTACGTTCGATGTTTGGCATCGTTTAATAAAAACATTTTGCAAGATTAAAAATGTAAGTTAATATTTCTTGTTAAAATAAGAAAAAATTTTTTTTGTTAAATATTTAACTTCATTAATAATATAAAGGAGCTAAGTATTAAATCCGAAGATTCATCGATGGCTGTGTTCCAAAATTTACTGCCGGTACTAAAAATCTGTAATTTACGTTACATATACTGTACATTTTGTGTACTGACAATAAATTTTGGAGCACAGTTATCATTTCAAAACGCGAACAAGGTAACGAGCGCGAAAAGCGTAGTCACACACTTGAATTTTGGCGCGGAAGTCCGTCATTGTTTCCGCTTCCGTGGTGGTGCTGGTGCGCCTTCCGGCTCCGGTGGAGCGCGCGTGACTTCGCGCGATTCGCAACCGGAGTAACCGGAGTGACCAGCTGCGCAACTCACTTCAGATGCTTCCAAGCTGTGGTACGGGACGGACGTGCGTGCGTTTGTTGCGCTGAGTCGTGGTCGCGTGAGACTCGCGGTACCGTGTTTCTTCCTCTCTTCCTTCTACGTGAAAAAGGTCAAGTACCCGCGGTGAAAGAAGGCTTGCGAAATTTAACGGTTGATCACCGAACAAGCTCGCACTGAGCGACATTCTCGTCGCCGTCAGTTCCCGTTTCTTTTCCATGCGTCGTCCGAGCACGCGGTCGAGCACGCGCCGATCCGAGATGCGCTACCAGGTATTTATGTAGTACCGACCACCGCCGCCTTCGAGCGTCGTACACCCGCCACCCTCGGCGTCCGTCGTCACGTCGGAGGTCGGAACGGAGGAAACAACCCCCCCCCCCTCCCGGCATCCCCGAGGAAAGCAACGTCGTTGTCGTCGTCGAGCAGCGAGGGTGAGAAGGCGTGAGAGAGGAGCAAGTGGAGAAGGAGCGATTCCGATCGGAAACGGAAGTGGAACCGCTGCGACGACGATGGATCAAAAACGCGTGTACAAGTTAGTGCTAACCGGAGGTATGTAACAGGGGTACAATCGCATTTATCCTCCTTCCGTTTCCCTCCCGCGCGTGCAAAGCTGCTCCTCCGAGCTGGAATAGATTAAGCGCGAATTGATTCCCCGTTCTGGACTTCGCCAACGAATCTCGCTGATCGGGAAAACCGGAGCGAGAGCGAGTCTGCAAGAGTAAAAGCATGTGATGCGAAGTGTCTCCCATTGATTTTTTTTCTTGGAATTTGCATATTTTGTGTGCTCCGCGATAGACATAGGGTCCGTTTTTTTTCCTACATGGGAACTCTTTTTTTCTCACTGCAGTCAAATATCGAAAATCTATTTCACTTTTTTCTAAAAGTATACACTAGTTCAGGTATTAAAAAACAGACCTGATATGTTGTAGATAGATAAAGAGCTTTTGTCAAGCAATTTTAGAAATATTTTGCGATAAAGTATAATATGAGAATTGTGGAAAACTCGATAACGATACCACATACTTACCTTGGTCTACTTTACCTCAGTTTATTTTAAACTTCCTCAGGTACATAAACTAATGCTTATTTCCACCAATATAGTTTAATTTTAATTTTGATTTTATTTTCTATCTTTTTCTAGTTATATAAGAATTAGAAAAAAATTATACGAAGTTAATTGAAATTAATTTATATCGATAGAAAAGAACAATGCCGATTCTTATTCGTTTCACATTTCGATTGATTCATTGATTTTCATGAAAACTTCCGGCTTTATTATTTTGTAATGCATATTCATCTATCTTACAATTATCGGAATCTAGCATTTCTAATCGTAGATATACGCAAAGAAGCGTTTTACGTCATAATTAAGAATTGTTCTTCCGGGTGAAATCTCGAAGACAAAATCAGAAGAAACTGATATTAATCGAGTTGCGACAAAATAAAATGTAATAAAAAATCCGGAAAGAGATACGATCAAAAATAAAAGAAGAGAAATGAAAATTATATAGGTTTACAGCGAAGCACGTGTTTCTCTTAAAGAACATTCCAGAGCTGTTTTCTCACTACCGTCTAATTCTTCAGGTAGTCTTCGCTTTCAAACGCGAAGCACTGGCATGTGTCTCTGTTATTTTTTTCCTCTTTTATAAATCTCTTACTCCGAGGACGATCACTGGCGATTGCTCGTCTCGTAATTTCGTGCAACGCGAGAATAGAACGTTGACGGACATGAAAATAGAACACGCGCGTGAGAAGTTTCTTTCACGCGGAATTTTCACGGAAAGAAGTTTTTCCCGGCCGGTGTGACGGGCGCACGTGGTATGGATCGCTCGTGTTTTTCTTAATCTTAGATCACAATCCAAAGTCCATGATCGAGAAAAAGAAGAGGAAGCATGCTAATTGTTAGCAGGAAAGCGTGAATTTTTTATCCATGTAAATCGTATGTAAAATTGAGATGTAATTCGATATAATTTTCGTAATAATTGAATTTTGGTGGAATCAAGTTCTGGCGCTTTTCCAAACAGTTTTAACATTCCCTGCAGACAAGTTTTAAAAAAGCTTCTGACGATGAGGTACAAAGAAGAAGAGAAATCTGAAAATATATTATTAGAGAGAAAAATGTTTAGTATTTGTGGCTATAATTGCATGGTAAAATAATTAGGAGCTCCATTTTTATAATAATTATTATTATAACATTATATATAATAATAATAAATTACTACCAGTAATAGTAATAATAATAAAAATTATAAAAGTGCTGTAATTGGCAATAATAATATTTAATGATTAAATAATAGATAATAATATTTATAGTTTTATTAAAACAATAGATACAAATGATGTAAAGTAACACAGGGAAATATTATATTCTTGTTGTTTGCCAATTTTAAACAAAGATGAAATGGTCACTGTGTTACACTGTGTCTCTTGTTGAAAAGTACCAAATTTATAGTTGGCACCGAAAATGATTATAAAATATAGTTATTTTGGTGATTGCAACAAAAAAATTTTTTCTCAGTGTATAGAATGCTTTTACTCTTATCGTTTGGAAATTTTAGTTTAAGGAAGTTTCTGTATTTTTCTAGAAACACACACAGAATAGGATATCACTCAGAATTCTTGAAAGAAAGTCTTCAATGAAAGAAAGTATAGGATAGAAAGAAACTCCAAATTAGAATGAATTTTTGTATACAATGAAAACAAAGGAAATATCTCAATCTTTTCGCATACCTGTCTTTTGAAAGATTTCTTTTTGAAATACGTCGAAAGCTTTCTATATATTCTTTATTGTAAAAGACAGTCCTTTATTTTATGTAGTTGCCCCATCTTAGTGTTTCCAACTCAGTAGAATTTCTATCAGATTTGAAGTTTCCTTTTTATTGAGAGATTTTTTGGGGATACAAAAAATTTAAGAGAGTTTTCAGGTAACTTTTTGAGAGGAATATACAAAAAACGAATTACAGCTAAAATATTGAGAAAGTCATAATATAAGGAATACCTTTGAACAAGCCAACACTGAGCTGTCCTTCAGATTTATTAATTTTTTTCAAAATTCAATTTTGTCTTTTATTTTAATAAACTCACAGGAAATTTTTTTCTAATTAGCATTCTAATATCTAATATCGCATTAATGAGCGAATATTTATGGAAACAACTGACAAATTTAATTTTATGCAAGAGCAATATTAGCTCAAGCAAAACAACAAAATCACAGTAACATCAAAATAAATGATTGATTGAAAAGTG